GTAGTTTATCACAACTGTACCAACCCCTTTAAGTTGGGAATATTCCAACTTTCCCATCTATATGTCCCTTCATGGGAACATATATTTATTATATATATGTAGCCCTAACTATGTAGTTTATCACAACTGTACCAACCCCTTTAAGTTGGGAATATTCCAACTTTCCCATCTATTTGTCCCTTCATGGGAACATATATTTATTATATATATGTAGCCCTAACTATAGTTAGCATTAATTGAGTGCTCACTATGTGCCAGGCATTGGCTCAGCCCCTTACATTCATCACCCTTTTTCATCCTTATAATCCTGTGGGGTAGATACTATTCTCAGCCCTATTTACAGTAGGGAAAACCCTTGGCAAGGGAGGGAAATGATTTGCCCAAAGCCCCAAGACTCTCCCCCTTTAAAAAAAAAAGCAGGGGAGGAAAATTAACAATTAAAATTTAAACCCACCAGGTCTAATGCCAAAGCTCATACTTTCCTTTTTTTTCCCCACTTTCAAACCTACAGAAATTTGCAAGAATACACCCATATACCTTCATCCAGTTCAAATATTAACATTTTACCACATTTGCTTTATTTGTGTATGTGAGTGTGTGGGGGTAGTTGGTATATACATTTGTTTCTAAACCATTTGAGAGTGAGTTGCAGATGTCATACCATTTCATCTCCCTAAAAGTTTCAGTAGGTATCTCCTAATTACAAGGACATTCTACATAACCACGAAATGAGTAGCATAATCAGGAAACTTAACAATGACACGTATTATTTTCTAACATATAGTCCTAATCAAATTCCCCCAATTATCTCAATAATGTCTTTTATAGCTATTTTTTAAAATCCAGGATCCAATTAATGGATGTTATGTCCATTATTGGACATGTTGAATTTAGATGTCATGTCTTTTTAGTGTCCTTTAACACACTTTTTTGTCTTTAAGAACACTGGTATTTTTTAGGAGTTCAGACCAGATTTTTGTGGAATGATTTGTAATTTGGATTTACCAGATTATTTCCTCATAATTAGAGTCAGGTTAAACATTTTGGTAAGAATACCACAATTCCTGAATTCTCAGTGCCTCACATCAGAACATATGTCAGTTTACTGGTGATATTAAGTCTAGTGACTGATGGGCCCAGGTTTTCTTGCTACAGTGAGCTGCCTGCTGTGTGCCAGGCATTATGCTAGGCACTGGGGGGTGGGGACAGAATAAAAAGGAAAATAAGCCACAATGACTCTTTACCTTTAGGCAGCTCACAGTCCAGTGAGGAAGACAGACCTGATAAACACTTAAAGGGAAGGCAACTGTACAAGCCTGTGGTCACACTGTGTGTGTGTGTGTGTTGTGGGGAGGAAGCCTGGGGGGAAGAGAGACTTCAGAGATGAGATAACATTTGGTGAAGTTTGAAAGATTCCATTAACAGTTTAACAAGTAGAAAAGGAAAGGAAAGAGCCGACAGGTAGAGGGAACAGCATATGCAGAAGCAGGAGGCATGAAAGACAGCTCCTTATCACACAGATAAGAGTTCAGTCTCTTTCCACCAAGGAGCGGGGTGTGGTATAAAAGGGCTTTCCCATCCCCACCATTTTCCTGATGACTGATCCTAAGAACTCCTAACTCTAGCACGGGCATACTTGAGCTTGACAGTTCACCAAAGGCTTTGACTATCTTTTCGAATTTAGGCCTCACTACAGACCCTCAAGTTAGCCAGATAGTCATGATTTTCCCACTTTTCAGATGAGGAACTGAATGAAGCTCAGAGAGGTAAAGTAACCCACTCAAGTCCATAAGCCAGTAGATGCCAGGGCTGGGGCTCAAGAATGGCACTTGAGTGTTCTATTTACCAAAGCGATTTGGTTGCTCAGCACTTGGAAGCTTCTACCACCAGAAGTCCTGACACCTCATCAGTCACTCTTGTGCTACAGAGGACGGGTCTCCTCCAGCTGTGCCCCCACTCCCCCAACAGCCCTATATTCTCCCCTGCCCAGGTTCCCTCTGACCCCACCAGGAGAAGAAGATGGCATATGAAAAATCGGCCGATATCTTTGACATCTCTAGGTCAATGTTAATGTACCCATGGCTGGAATACAGAGACAGGACCAAAGGTGAGGCTAGAATGGACAGGAATGGAGTCAGAGGCAGGGGCCTGAAAAAGAAAGGCTACCTTGCTCCCACTGGCAGGCGAGGGTCTGGGTGAGTTCAGCAAATCCAGGGGGAGGTCAGGGCAGGCCCTTGGACACTCTAGTGGCTCCCCACAGCCCTCAAGGTAAGTCTTAGTTCCTCAGCAGGGCCTACAGAACCCTCTAAGATAGGACACCTGTGTGTCTCACCAGCTTCTGTTCCCACACCTGCAGCCTGCTCTCTACCCCAGCTCTCACCCTCTAGGTCTTTGCATGAGATCTTCCCAGTGCCTAATGCTCTTCCCCCTTATGTGTCTGGTTAACTCTTGCTTGGATTGAAGACTCAGCTTGTGTATAATCTCCTCTGGCAAACCTTCCCTGATCCTCCCAGCCAGGTTAGCTGCCCCTCATCTGTGCCAAGTGTGCCTGTATCCATCTTCACATTTGTTCCCCTCCATTAATCACTAAGAAACATTGCTGTCTCACCAGCTAGACCAGTGGTTCTCAAAATATGGTCCCAGACCAGCAGCATCAGCATCTTGTTGGAAATGCAAATTCTCAGACCCCGCCCCAGATACTTTGGGGATGAGTCCCAGAAATCTGTTTTAACAAGCTCTCCTGGTGATTCTAATGCACACTCGAGCTTGAGAAACTGAACGAGACCAACAGTTTTCACCCTTAACTGCACATTAGAATCTTCCGGGAGCTTTCTAAAATGCCTAGGCCCCATTCCCACATAATCTGATTTACTTACTCTGATGTAGGGCCTAGACACGTTCAAAGTTCCCCCAAATAATTCTAATATGCAGCCAAGGTTGAGAATACCCTGCTAGACCAGTTTCTCAAACTTCAACCTACGTAGGAATCACCTGAGGATCTTTTTAAAATTAAGATCCTGATTCAGTAGGTCTGAAGTGGAGCCTGAGAAGTTCCCAGGCTATGACAATGCTATTGTTCCATGGACCACACTTTGAGTAACAAGGTACTAGATGATTATGAGCCCCTTAAGGGCAGGGATTATGCCTTACCTCTCTGGTGCCCGGTAAAACACCTGGTACTAGTATCCACTAAATGCTGAACACATGAATGCCTGAATGAATGATTCTTTAACCACCTTTGTGACTGCTGTTCTCATTTGTACCATATACATACTCTTAACCCTCTTGCCAGAATTCCAAAAAGCCATGGCTCCTGTTCATCTGCCCTTGTCCTGCTACCAGGTAAGACCCCTAACTTCTGCTATCCTTGAAGCTGTGTCAGAGTCAGGGGTAGCAAACTGTCCCTTCCCACTTAAGCTAGCTTACAGAACCCTGACATTCACCTCTGGGGCTGCCATTAACTCTGTGTGACCTGGGAAAAGTCACTCTCTCTCTGAGCCTCAGGAGCATCCTCTGCCACAGGCCAACAACCTCTGCCCACCTCATCTTGTAGAGTTGCTATAAGACAAAGTCTATAAAGCCTGGGCTATGCAGGGAATGCTTACGAATGGGAGTTACTTTTATTTATTAACATGGGGGCCCTCAGAGTTAGGGTCATCAGACAAAAATACAGGATGCCCAATTAAATTTGAGTTTATCTTAAACAACAAATTTTTTTTAGAATAAGCATGCCTCAAATATTTTTAGGGTCATCAGACAAAAATACAGGATGCCCAATTAAATTTGAGTTTATCTTAAACAACAATTTTTTTTTAGAATAAGCATGCCTCAAATATTTCATTTGGGGCAGGCCCGGTGGCGCACTGCTACAGTGCGCCGCTTGGGAAGTGCGGCGGCGCTCTCGCCGAGGGTTTGGATCCCATATACAGACCGGCCGCTCACTGGCTGAGCGAGGTGTGGGAGCAACAACGTGGGTTGCGATCCCATTGCCGGTCCCGGTCCGGTACGGGCGTGACACTGAGGGTTGTGATCCGTTGCCGGTCATGAAA